AATTTCAGTGGTCGCATTGGTTTGATTTTTGGTTTGCTTGTAGGGCGCTGGCACCCGCATTCAGTGACCCAGAAAATTTGGCACTGCTGTGAATAGTTTAGTCGCAAAGTGAAGATTCATTGGTAAAAAGCCCCAAACTTCTAGATAGGTTCTTTGTCAGCTTTCAGCAGCCCTGGGTGAGTTCTTTAGAGAAATGTGGCTCTTTTTCATTGTGCTATTTTCTATGTCCAGCGACACAACGAGATGAGGATGGTCATTGTCATTTTCTGAGCTGCGAACGGGCAGAAAGGTGAGAAAATGTCGGATTTTGACCATTTGTGCTGACCTTTCAATTTCAACGTACCTCTCTATACATGACCCAGCGGTAATGTCAGTGGTCGCATTGGTTTGATTTTTGGTTTCCTTGTAGGGCGCTGGCACCCACATTCAGTGACCCAGAAAATTTGGCACTGCTGTGAATAGTTTAGTCGCAAAGTGAATATTCACGGGTAAAAAGCCCCAAACTTCTAGATAGGTTTATTTTTCAGCTTTCAGCAGCCCTGGGCGTGTTCTTCAGAGAAATGTGGGTCTTTTTCTTGGTGCTATTTTCTATTTCCAGCTACACAACGAGATGAGGATGGTCATTGTCATTTTCTGAGCTGCGAACATGTAGAAGGGTGAGAAAATGTCGGATTTTGACCATTTGTGCTGACCTTTCAATTTCAACGTACCTCTCTATAACATGACCCAGCGGTAATGTCAGTGGTCGCATTCGTTTGATTTTTGGTTTCCTTGTAGGGCGCTGGCACCCACATTCAGTGACCCAGAAAATTTGGCACTGCTGTGAATAGTTTAGTCGCAAAGTGAATATTCACGGGTAAAAAGCCCCAAACTTCTAGATAGGTTCTTTTTCAGCTTTCAGCAGCCCTGGGCGTGTTCTTCAGAGAAATGTGGGTCTTTTTCTTGGTGCTATTTTCTATTTCCAGCTACACAACGAGATGAGGATGTTCATTGTCATTTTCTGAGCTGCGAACATGTAGAAGGGTGAGAAAATGTCGGATTTTGACCATTTGTGCTGACCTTTCAATTTCAACGTACCTCTCTATAACATGACCCAGCTGTAATGTCAGTGGTCGCATTAATTTGATTTTTGGTTTGCTTTTAGGGCGCTGGCACCCGCATTCATTGACCCAGAAAAATTGGCACTGCTGTTAATAGTTTAGTCGCAAAGTGAAGATTCACGGGTAAAAAGCCCCAAACTTCTAGATAGGTTCTTTTTCAGCTTTCAGCAGCCCTGGGTGAGTTCTTTAGAGAAATGTGGCTCTTTTTCATTGTGCTTTTTTCTATGTCCAGCGACACAACGAGATGAGGATGGTCATTGTCATTTTGTGAGCTGCGAACGGGCAGAAAGTCGAGAAAATGTCGGATTTTCACCATTTGTGCTGACCTTTCAATTTCAACGTACCTCTCTATAACATAAACCAGCTGTAATGTCAGTGGTCGCATTCGTTTCATTTTTGGTTTGCTTTTAGGACGCTGGCACCCGCATTTATTGACCCAGAAAATTTGGCACTGCCGTGAATAGTTTAGTCGCAAAGTGAAGATTCACGGGTAAAAAGCCCCAAACTTCTAGATAGGTTCTTTTTCAGCTTTCAGCAGCCCTGGGCGAGTTCTTTAGAGAAATGTGGCACTTTTTCATTGTGCTATTTTCTATGTCCAGCTACACAACGAGATGAGGATGGTCGTGGTCATTTTCTTAGCTGCGAACGGGCAGAAAGGTGAGAAAATGTCGGATTTTGACCATTTGTGCTGACCTTTCAATTTCAACGTACCTCTCTATAACATGACCCAGCTGTAATATCAGTGGTCGCATTGGTTTGATTTTTGGTTTGCTTTTAGGACGCTGGCACCCGCATTCATTGACCCAGAAAATTTGGCACTGCTGTGAATAGTTTAGTCGCAAAGTGAATATTCACGGGTAAAAAGCCCCAAACTTCTAGATGGGTTCTTTTTCAGCTTTCAGCAGCCCTGGGCGAGTTCTTTAGAGAAATGTGGCTCTTTTTCATGGTGCTATTTTCTATGTCCAGCTACACAACGAGATGAGGATGGTCATTGTCATTTTCTGAGCTGCGAACGGGCAGAAAGGTGAGAAAATGTCGGATTTTGACCATTTGTGCTGACCTTTCAATTTCAACGTACCTCTCTATAACATGACCCAGCGGTAATGTCAGTGGTCGCATTGGTTTGATTTTTGGTTTCCTTGTAGGGCGCTGGCACCCACATTCAGTGACTCATAAAATTTGGCACTGCTGTGAATAGTTTAGTCGCAAAGTGAAGATTCACGGGTAAAAAGCCCCAAACTTCTAGATAGGTTCTTTTTCAGCTTTCAGCAGCCCTGGGCGTGTTCTTCAGAGAAATGTGGGTCTTTTTCTTGGTGCTATTTTCTATTTCCAGCTACACAACGAGATGAGGATGGTCATTGTCATTTTCTGAGCTGCGAACATGTAGAAGGGTGAGAAAATGTCGGATTTTGACCATTTGTGCTGACCTTTCAATTTCAACGTACCTCTCTATAACATGACCCAGCGGTAATGTCAGTGGTCGCATTGGTTTGATTTTTGGTTTCCTTGTAGGGCGCTGGCACCCACATTCAGTGACCCAGAAAATTTGGCACTGCTGTGAATAGTTTAGTCGCAAAGTGAATATTCACGGGTAAAAAGCCCCAAACTTCTAGATAGGTTCTTTTTCAGCTTTCAGCAGCCCTGGGCGTGTTCTTCAGAGAAATGTGGGTCTTTTTCTTGGTGCTATTTTCTATTTCCAGCTACACAACGAGATGAGGATGTTCATTGTCATTTTCTGAGCTGCGAACATGTAGAAGGGTGAGAAAATGTCGGATTTTGACCATTTGTGCTGACCTTTCAATTTCAACGTACCTCTCTATAACATGACCCAGCTGTAATGTGAGTGGTCGCATTAATTTGATTTTTGGTTTGCTTTTAGGGCGCTGGCACCCGCATTCATTGACCCAGAAAAATTGGCACTGCTGTTAATAGTTTAGTCGCAAAGTGAAGATTCACGGGTAAAAAGCCCCAAACTTCTAGATAGGTTCTTTTTCAGCTTTCAGTAGCCCTGGGTGAGTTCTTTAGAGAAATGTGGCTCTTTTTCATTGTGCTTTTTTCTATGTCCAGCGACACAACGAGATGAGGATGGTCATTGTCATTTTCTGAGCTGCGAACGGGCAGAAAGTCGAGAAAATGTCGGATTTTCACCATTTGTGCTGACCTTTCAATTTCAACGTACCTCTCTATAACATAAACCAGCTGTAATGTCAGTGGTCGCATTCGTTTCATTTTTGGTTTGCTTTTAGGACGCTGGCACCCGCATTTATTGACCCAGAAAATTTGGCACAGCCGTGAATAGTTTAGTCGCAAAGTGAAGATTCACGGGTAAAAAGCCCCAAACTTCTAGATAGGTTCTTTTTCAGCTTTCAGCAGCCCTGGGCGAGTTCTTTAGAGAAATGTGGCACTTTTTCATTGTGCTATTTTCTATGTCCAGCTACACAACGAGATGAGGATGGTCGTGGTCATTTTCTTAGCTGCGAACGGGCAGAAAGGTGAGAAAATGTCGGATTTTGACCATTTGTGCTGACCTTTCAATTTCAACGTACCTCTCTATAACATGACCCAGCTGTAATGTCAGTGGTCGCATTGGTTTGATTTTTGGTTTGCTTTTAGGACGCTGGCACCCGCATTCATTGACCCAGAAAATTTGGCACTGCTGTGAATAGTTTAGTCGCAAAGTGAATATTCACGGGTAAAAAGCCCCAAACTTCTAGATGGGTTCTTTTTCAGCTTTCAGCAGCCCTGGGCGAGTTCTTTAGAGAAATGTGGCTCTTTTTCATGGTGCTATTTTCTATGTCCAGCTACACAACGAGATGAGGATGGTCATTGTCATTTTCTGAGCTGCGAACGGGCAGAAAGGTGAGAAAATGTCGGATTTTGACCATTTGTGCTGACCTTTCAATTTCAACGTACCTCTCTATAACATGAACCAGCTGTAATGTCAGTGGTCGCATTGATTTGATTTTTCGTTTGCTTTTAGGGCGCTGGCACCCGCATTCATTGACCTAGAGAATTTGGCACTGCCGTGAATAGTTTAGTCGCAAAGTGAAGATTCACGGGTAAAAAGCCCCAAACTTCTAGATAGGTTCTTTTTCAGCTTTCAGCAGCCCTGGGTGAGTTCTTTAGAGAAATGTGGTTCTTTTTCATGGTGCTATTTTCTATGTCCAGCTACACAACGAGATGAGGATGGTCATTGTCATTTTCTGAGCTGCGAACGGGCAGAAAGGAGAGAAAATGTCGGATTTTGACCATTTGTGCTGACCTTTCAATTTCAACGTACCTCTCTATAACATGGCCCAGCTGTAATTTCAGTGGTCGCATTGGTTTCATTTTTGGTTTACTTGGAGGGCGCTGGCACCCGCATTCAGTGACCCATAAAATTTTGCACTGCTGTGAATAGTTTAGTCGCAAAGTGAAGATTCACGGGTAAAAAGCGCCAAACTTCTAGATAGGTTCTTGTTCAGCTTTCAGCAGCCCTGGGTGAGTTCTTTAGAAAAATGGCTCTTTTTCATGGTGCTATTTTCTATGTCCAGCGACACAACGAGATGAGGATGGTCATTGTCATTTTCTGAGCTGCGAACGGGCAGAAAGGTGAGAAAATGTCGGATTTTGACCATTTGTGCTGACCTTTCAATTTCAACGTACCTCTCTATAACATGAACCAGCTGTAATGTCAGTGGTCGCATTAGTTTGATTGTTGGTTTGCTTGTAGGGCACTGGCACCCACATTCAGTGACCCATAAAATTTGGCACTGCTGTGAATAGTTTAGATGTAAAGTGAAGATTCACGGGTAAAAAGCCCCAAACTTTGAGATAGGTTATTATTCAGCTTTCAGCCGCCCTGGGCGAGTTCTTTAGAGAAATGTGACTGCTTTTCTTGGTGCCCTTGTCTATGTCCAGCTACACAACGAGATGAGGATTGTCTTTGTCAATGTCTGAGCTGCGAACAGGCATAAAGGTGAGAAAATGTCGGATTTTGACCATTTGTGCTTACCTTTGAATTTCAACGTACCTCTCTATAACATGACCCAGCTGTAATGTCAGTGGTCGCATTGGTTTGAGTTTGGGTTTGCTTGTAGGACGCTGGCACCCACATTCAATGACCCATAAAAAATTTCACTGCTGTGAATAGTTTAGTCGCAAAGTGAAGATTCATGGGTACCAAACCCTAAACTTGGAGATAGGTTATTATTCAGCTTTCAGCAGCCCTGGGCGAGTTCTTTAGAGATATGTGACTGTTTTTCTTGGTGCCCTTGTCTATGTCCAGCTACACAACGAGATAAGGATTGTTTTTGTCAATGTCTGAGCTGCGAACGGGCAGAAAGGTGAGAAAATGTCGGATTTTGACCAGTTGGTCAACGTACCTCTCTATATCACTGCTGTGAATAGTTTAGTCGCAAAGTGAAGATTCATGGGTACCAAACCCTAAACATGGAGATTGGTTATAATTCAGCTTTCAGCAGCCCTGGGCGAGTTCTTTAGAGAAATGTGACTGTTTTACTTGGTGCCCTTGTCTATGTCCAGCTACACAACAAGATGAGGATTGTCTTTGTCAATTCCTGAGCTTCGAACAGGCATAAAGGTGAGAAAATGTCGGATTTTGACCAGTTGGTCTCACCTTCCAATTTCAATGTACCTCTCTATAACATGAGCCAGCTGTAATGTCAGTGGTCGCATTGGTTTGATTTTTGGTTTGCTTATAGGGCGCTGACACCCACATTCAGTGACCCAGACATTTTGGCACTCCTGTGAATAGTTTAATCGCAAAGGGAAGATTCACGGGTACCAAGCCCTAAACTTGGAGATAGGTCATTATTCAGCTTTCAGCAGCCGTGGGCGAGTTCTTTAGAGATATGTGACTGTTTTTCTTGGTGCCCTTGTCTATGTCCAGCTACACAACCAGATGAGGATGGTCATTGTCATTTTGTGAGCTGCGAACGGGCAGAAAGGTGAGAAAATGTCGGATTTTGACCATTTGTGCTCACCTTTGAATTTCAACGTACCTCTCTATAACATGAGCCAGCTGTAATGTCAGTGGTCGAATTGGTTTGATTTTTGGTTTGCTTGTAGGGCGCTGCCACCCACATTCAGCGACCCAGAAATTTTGGCACTGCTGTGAATAGTTTAGTCGCAAAGTGAAGATTCACGGGTACCAAGCCCTAAACTTGGAGATAGTTTATTATTCAGCTTTCAGCAGCCCTGGGCGAGTTCTTTAGAGATACGCGACTGTTTTTCTTGGTGCCCTTGTCTATGTCCAGCTCCACAACGAGATGAGGGTGGTCTTTGTCAATTTCTGAGCTGCGAACAAGCATAAAGGTGAGAAAATGTCGGATTTTGACCATTTGTGCTCACCTTCCAATTTCAACGTACCTCTCTATAACATGAGCCAGCTGTAATGTCAGTGGTCGCATTGGTTTGATTTTTGGTTTGCTTGTAGGGCGCTGGCAATCACATTCAGTGACCCAGAAATTTTGGCACTGCTGTGAATAGTTTAGTCGCAAAGTGAAGATTCACGGGTACCAAACCCTAAACTTGGAGATTGGTTATAATTCAGCTTTCAGCAGCCCTGGGCGACTTCTTAAAGATACGTGACTGTTTTTCTTGGTGCCCTTGTCTATGTCCAGCTACAGAACGAGATGAGGATGGTCATTTCTCATTTTGTGAGCTGCGAACGCGCAGAAAGGTGAGAAAATGTCGGATTTTGACCATTTGTGCTCACCTTTGAATTTCAACGTACCTCTCTATAACAGGAGCCAGCTGTAATGTTAGTGGTCGCATTGATATGATTTTTGGTTTGCTTGTAGGACGCTGGCACCCACATTCAGTGACCCATAAAATTTGGCACTGCTGTGAATAGTTTAGTCGCAAAGAGAAGATTCACGGGTAAAAAGCCCCAAACTTTGAGATATATAAGTTTCCGTGCATGGCACGGTAAGTGAAGTTAGCAACCCACCAACAATTACATTCCTAACATAATTTGCACGTACTTGCCATAGCGCATCACGTGCCCGTGCAGAACACGCACTCCGAACTCCCGCGCCCCGGCACGGGACCACGCGGAGCATGCGCATTACTCCGGCTCTCGATGCTGCTTCTTCTTCATCCTTGCTGCGCCAACAGTCAGATCGCTTGATAACCTTGGCCAGTTTTTGAGCTTGCTCTTCGCTTTGCTGTGCTGACGGTCAAATTGTTTGACTATCGCGGCCAGTTTCTGATCAATATCCGATCAACCAGGTCTCTGTCAGTGAGCGATGTCCAGCCAAAACGCTCCGTTTGCTTTGCTGCGCTGACGCAGTGACGGTCAAATTGTTTGACAATCGCGGCCAGTTTCTGATCAATATCCGATCAACCATGTCTCCGTCAGTGAGCGATGTCCAGCCATAACGCTCTTTGCTTTGCTGCCTTGACGGTCAAATTGTTTGACAATCGCGGCCAGTTTCTGATCAATATCCGATCAACCATGTCTCTGTCAGTAAGCGATGTCCAGCCAAAATGCGCTCTGCTAAGCTGCGAAACGCACTGGCATCCCGCAATTATTTAGACCCGACAGGAACAAAACCTACTCCGCGGACTCGCCTGCTCGAGCTGAAGTTGGCTCCAGACTACTGAGTACTGTACGCGAGGACTTGGCCGCTCCGGCAGCGGAGCAGAACCTAGCCGAGGCAACTGCAGCCCCATCCCTGGCCTAGGAGACTTTAGTCGGGAGGAGGTTCGCGACGCTTGGAGCACGTATTGTGCGACTGACGCAGCAGCACACCCCTCCAGGGCCCCCGGAGCCGTTTTCGCACCAGCCCATAATCTTCAAGATGGCTCGGAAATTTAGGTCCCTGATGCTGAGCTCTCCTCTCTAAAGCTGACACGAAGTATGCCTGGCGGCTTTGGTCTGTTTCCCCTCATGTCTGGCCCCGGCTTGGCATTTTTTGGAAGGTTCGTAACCATGTAGATAAGGCACCACCATTTGGCCTTAGATCCTCCCCCTTCCGTTCAACAGACCGGCTGATGTGGACTCTCAGCCCAACGGCGACTCTGCAATGATCCTGCTAAGTCTCTTACTCGTCTTCGAGTACAGCGCTTCCGGACTCTCAGCCCATCTACCGACGCAGTGCTGACACACCCTGCACAGTCCACCCTCCAGCAGTTGACGACGCAACCATGGACCTCATCCGCCAGGGCCTGGCGGCCAGTTCCAGCATAACATGCGCTTCGCTGCCGCGCTCCGAACACTTGTCGCCCTGCGCCAGGGCAAGCCACACTCAGGGACTGATCAGTGCTGGCAGCATTGTTCCAGATCCTGTACTTTGAGTGCATTGCCCACTGTGCTAATGGCTAGCCGCATTGGACGGCACTCACATCAAATGCAGTGTAATAGTAATGCAGATAAATCCTGTTTGGGTCAGGTTGTCAGCGCTGCCGGACTCGCATCCCAACTGCCGAAGTGGTGCCGACACAACCAGCGCAGTCCACCCTCCAGCAGTTGACGACGCAACCATGGACCTCATCCGCCAGGGCCTGGCGGACAGCTCCAGCATGGCATGCGCTTCGCCGCAGCACTCCGAACGCTTGTCGCCCTGCGCCAGGGCAAGCCAACCTCAGGGACTGATCATTGCCGGCAGCATTGTTCCAGATCCTGTACTTCGAGCACATCGCCCACTATGCTAATGGGCAGCCGCATTGGACGGCACTCACATAAATTGCAGTGTAATAGTAATGCAGATAAATCCTGTCTGGGTCCGGTTGTCAGCGCGTCTGGACTTGCAGCCCAACTGCCGAAGCGGTGCCGGCACAACCAGCGCAGTCCACCCTTCAGCAGTTGATGACGCAACCATGGACCTCATCCGCCAGGGCCTGGCGGGCAGCTCCAGCACAACATACGCTTCGCTGCAGCGCTCCGAACGCTTGTCACCCCGCACTAGGGCAAGCCATACCCAGTGACTGATCAGTGCCAGCAGCATTGTTCCGTATCCGGTACGTTGAGCGCATTGCCCACTATGCTAATGGGCAGCCGCATTGGACGGCACTCACATCAATTGTAGTGTAATAGTAATGTAGATAAATCCTGTTTGGGTCAGGTTGTCGACGCTTCTGGACTCGCAGCCCAACTGCCGACGCAGTGCCGACACAACCAGCGCAGTCCACCCTTCAGCAGTTGACGACGCGGGCCGCAACTTTGGACGATCTGGCTGGCGTACAGCACTACCTGCAGTCCACCGTGCCTAGCCCGCACAACCGCGCCATGCTCTGGAGCGCCGTGACTCTGGCCTTCCACGGGCTGCTCAGAGTCAACGAGTACACCTTCACGGCACGGGGCGCCGGCCTTGAGTACAGCGATGCGACCATGTACCCAGACCGCGTGGAGCTGCGCCTGCGTGTGACAAAGACGAGCCAATACGGCAGCGGCCAGGACATTAGCGTCAGGAGGACAGGCTCGCCGACATGCCCGCACACGGCAGCCACCAGCTACCTAGCAGCCCGTGGCTCGGCACCTGGCCCGCTCTATCGCTATGATGACGGCACGCCCCTGAAGCCGCATAACATCAACAGGCTACTACAAACAGCCTTGCCTAACAAAGACGTGCGCAGCCACAGCCTCAGACGAGGCACTGCAACGCTGGCAGGCAAAGCTGGCGTGCCTGAGTGCGTGCTGAAGACCGCCGGCAGGTGGCAAAGCTCTGCCTACCTCCGCTATGTCCGCACCCCTGTCGCAGACAGAGCATTGCCAGCGGCATTGTTCTAGTCTCTGCCCGTTATGCTAATGGGTAGCCGCATTGGACGGCCCTAGCAACAGCTGTAGTGTACATATGATATACCTATCATACTATAACTATAGTAACGCTACTATAACTATAGTAATGCCGATAATTCCTGTTTGGGTCATGTTGTATTTTGGGAGAACGGTAGGGATCGTGGGTCAGGCCGGCATTGAGCCAAGTGCGCCTACATGTGCTCACAAGTGCATCCCTACCGTATGCGTGTATTGACACGCCGGGCAATTGTTGCCCCCATTAGCCCTGGCATTGGCCAGTCTAACGCACATTGGTGCTTGCGATACTACGGCATTGGTCCATAGTATTGCATACTGCATGCGGCAATTGTTGCCTGCGATACTACGGCATTGGTCCATAGTATTGCATACTGCATGCGGCAATTGTTGCCTGCGATACTACGGCATTGGTCCATAGTATTGCATACTGCATGCGGCAATTGTTGCCTATGCCCTGATAATACAACGCGTAATAGCTCCCAAACAGGTCGGCTTGTGTGGTTGTTAAATATAAGTTTCCGTGCATGGCACGGTAAGTGAAGTTAGCAACCCACCAACAATTACATTCCTAACATAATTTGCACGTACTTGCCATAGCGCATCACGTGCCCGTGCAGAACACGCACTCCGAACTCCCGCGCCCCGGCACGGGACCACGCGGAGCATGCGCATTACTCCGGCTCTCGATGCTGCTTCTTCTTCATCCTTGCTGCGCCAACAGTCAGATCGCTTGATAACCTTGGCCAGTTTTTGAGCACCACCACCCACCCCATCATCTCTAACCATCATTCTATTCTAAGCCATCCCGGAAGGGAGAACGGTAGGGATCGTGGGTCAGGCCGGCATTGAGCCAAGTGCGCCTACATGTGCTCACAAGTGCATCCCTACCGTATGCGTGTATTGACACGCCGGGCAATTGTTGCCCCCATTAGCCCTGGCATTGGCCAGTCTAACGCACATTGGTGCTTGCGATACTACGGCATTGGTCCATAGTATTGCATACTGCATGCGGCAATTGTTGCCTGCGATACTACGGCATTGGTCCATAGTATTGCATACTGCATGCGGCAATTGTTGCCTGCGATACTACGGCATTGGTCCATAGTATTGCATACTGCATGCGGCAATTGTTGCCTATGCCCTGATAATACAACGCGTAATAGCTCCCAAACAGGTCGGCTTGTGTGGTTGTTAAAGGTTATTATTCAGCTTTCATCAGCCCTGGGCGAGTTCTTTAGAGAAATGTGACTGTTTTACTTGGTGCCCTTGTCTATGTCCAGCTACACAACAAGATGAGGATTGTCTTTGTCAATTTCTGAGCTTCGAACTGGTATAAATGTGAGAAAATGTCGGATTTTGACCATCTGTGCTCACCTTCCAATTTCAATGTACCTCTCTATAACATGAGCCAGCTGGAATGTCTGTGGTCGCATTGGTTTTATTTTTGGTTTGCTTGTAGGGCGCTGGCACCCACATTCAGTGACCCACAAAATTTGGCACTGCTGTGAATAGTTTAGTCGCAAAGTGAAGATTCACGGGTAAAAAGCCCCAAACTTGGAGATAGGTTATTATTCAGCTTTCAGCAGCCATGGGCGAGTTCTTTAGAGATATGTGACTGTTTTTCTTGGTGCCCTTGTCTTTGTCCAGCTACACAACCAGATGAGGATGGTCATTGTCATTTTCTGAGCTGCGAACGGGCATAAAGGTGAGAAAAAATTTCGGATTTTGACCATTTTTGTTCACCTTCCAATTTCAACGTACCTCTCTATAACATGAGTCACCTGTAATGTCAGTGGTCGCATTGGTTTGATTTTTGGTTTGCTTGTAGGGCGCTGCCACCCACATTCAGCGACCCAGAAATTTTGGCACTGCTGTGAATAGTTTAGTCGCAAAGTGAAGATTCACGGGTACCAAGCCCTAAACTTGGAGATTGGTTATAATTCAGCTTTCAGCAGCCCTGGGCGAGTTCTTTAGAGATACGTGACTGTTTTTCTTGGTGCCCTTGTCTATGTCCAGCTACACAACGAGATGAGGATGGTCATTTTCATTTTGTGAGCTGCGAACGGGCAGAAAGGTGAGAAAATGTCGGATTTTGACCATTTGTGCTGACCTTCGAATTTCAATGTACCTCTCTATAACATGAGCCAGCTGTAATGTTAGTGGTCGCATTGATATGATTCTTGGTTTGCTTGTAGGGCGCTGGCACCCACATTCAGTGACCCATAAAATTTGGCACTGCTGTGAATAGTTTAGTCGCAAAGTGAAGATTCACATGTAAAAAGCCCCAAACTTTGAGATAGGTTATTATTCAGCTTTCAGCAGCCCTGGGCGAGTTCTTTAGAGAAATGTGACTGTTTTACTTGGTGCCCTTGTCTATGTCCAGCTACACAACAAGATGAGGATTGTCTTTGTCAATTTCTGAGCTTCGAACAGGCATAAAGGTGAGAAAATGTCGGATTTTGACCAGTTGGTCTCACCTTCCAATTTCAACGTACCTCTCTATAACATGAGCCAGCTGTAATGTTAGTGGTCGCATTGGTTTGATTTTTGGTTTGCTTATAGGGCGCTGACACCCACATTCAGTGACCCAGACATTTTGGCACTCCTGTGAATAGTTTAATCGCAAAGTGAAGATTCACTGGGTACCAAGCCCTAAACTTGGAGGTAGGTCATTATTCAGCTTTCAGCAGCCGTGGGCGAGTTCTTTAGAGATATGTGACTGTTTTTCTTGGTGCCCTTGTCTATGTCCAGCTACACAACCAGATGAGGATGGTCATTGTCATTTTGTGAGCTGCGAACGGGCAGAAAGGTGAGAAAATGTCGGATTTTGACCATTTGTGCTGACCTTTGAATTTCAACGTACCTCTCTATAACATGAGCCACCTGTAATGTCAGTGGTCGCATTGGTTTGATTTTTGGTTTGCTTGTAGGGCGCTGCCACCCACATTCAGCGACCCAGAAATTTTGGCACTGCTATGAATAGTTTAGTCGCAAAGTGAAGATTCACGGGTACCAAGCCCTAAACTTGGAGATAGGTTATTATTCAGCTTTCAGCAGCCCTGGGCGAGTTCTTTAGAGATACGTGACTGTTTTTCTTGGTGCCCTTGTCTATGTCCAGCTACACAACGAGATGAGGATGGTCATTTTCATTTTGTGAGCTGCGAACGGGCAGAAAGGTGAGAAAATGTCGGATTTTGACCATTTGTGCTGACCTTTGAATTTCAACGTACCTCTCTATAACATGAGCGAGCTGTAATGTTAGTGGTCGCATTGATATGATTTTTGGTTTGCTTGTAGGGCGCTGGCATCCACATTCAGTGACCCATAAAATTTGGCACTGCTGTGAATAGTTTAGTCGCAAAGTGAAGACTCACGGGTAAAAAGCCCCAAACTTTGAGATAGGTTATTATTCAGCTTTCATCAGCCCTGGGCGAGTTCTTTAGAGAAATGTGACTGTTTTACTTGGTGCCCTTGTCTATGTCCAGCTACACAACAAGATGAGGATTGTCTTTGTCAATTTCTGAGCTTCGAACAGGCATAAAGGTGAGAAAATGTCGGATTTTGACCAGTTGGTCTCACCTTCCAATTTCAACGTACCTCTCTATAACATGAGCCAGCTTTAATGTCAGTGGTCGCATTGGTTTGATTTTTGGTTTGCTTGTAGGGCGCTGGCAATCACATTCAGTGACCCAGAAATTTTGGCACTGCTGTGAATAGTTTAGTCGCAAAGTGAAGATTCACGGGTACCAAACCCTAAACTTGGAGATTGGTTATAATTCAGCTTTCAGCAGCCCTGGGCGAGTTCTTTAGAGATACGTGACTGTTTTTCTTGGTGCCCTTGTCTATGTCCAGCTAGACAACGAGATGAGGATGGTCATTTTCATTTTGTGAGCTGCGAACGGGCAGAAAGGTGAGAAAATGTCGGATTTTGACAATTTGTGCTCACCTTTGAATTTCAACGTACCTCTCTATAACATGAGCGAGCTGTAATGTTAGTGGTCGCATTGATATGATTTTTGGTTTGCTTGTAGGGCGCTGGCATCCACATTCAGTGACCCATAAAATTTGGCACTGCTGTGAATAGTTTAGTCGCAAAGTGAAGACTCACGGGTAAAAAGCCCCAAACTTTGAGATAGGTTATTATTCAGCTTTCATCAGCCCTGGGCGAGTTCTTTAGAGAAATGTGACTGTTTTACTTGGTGCCCTTGTCTATGTCCAGCTACACAACAAGATGAGGATTGTCTTTGTCAATTTCTGAGCTTCGAACAGGCATAAAGGTGAGAAAATGTCGGATTTTGACCAGTTGGTCTCACCTTCCAATTTCAACGTACCTCTCTATAACATGAGCCAGCTGTAATGTCAGTGGTCGCATTGGTTTGATTTTGGTTTGCTTGTAGGGCGCTGACACCCACATTCAGTGACCCAGAAATTTTGGCACTCCTGTGAATAGTTTAATCGCAAAGTGAAGATTCACGGGTACCAAGCCCTAAACTTGGAGATAGGTTATAATTCAGTGGTCGCATTGGTTTCATTTTTGGTTTGCTTGTAGGGCGCTGGCACCCACATGCAGTGACCCAGAAATTTTGGCACTGCTGTGAATAGTTTAGTCGCAAAGTGAAGATTCACGGGTACCAAGCCCTAAACTTGGAGATTGGTTATAATTCAGCTTACAGCAGCCCTGGGCGAGTTCTTTAGAGATACGTGACTGTTTTTCTTGGTGCCCTTATCTATGTCCAGCTACACAACGAGATGAGGATGGTCATTTTCATTTTGTGAGCTGCGAACGGGCAGAAAGGTGAGAAAATGTCGGATTTTGACCATTTGTGCTGACCTTTGAATTTCAACGTACCTCTCTATAACATGAGCCAGCTGTAATGTTAGTGGTCGCATTGATATGATTTTTGGTTTGCTTGTAGGGCGCTGGCACCCACATTCAGTGACCCAGAAATTTTGGCACTGCTGTAAATAGTTTAGTCGCAAAGTGAAGATTCACGGGTACCAAGCCCTAAACTTGGAGATAGGTTATTATTCAGCTTTCAGCAGCCCTGGGCGAGTTCTTTAGAGAAACGTGACTGTTTTTCTTGGTGCCCTTGTCTATGTCCAGCTACACAACAAGATGAGGATTGTCTTTGTCAATTTCTGAGCTGCGAACAAGCATAAAGGTGAGAAAATGTCGGATTTTGACCATTTGTGCTCACCTTCCAATTTCAACGTACCTCTCTATAACATGAGCCAGCTGTAATGTCAGTGGTCGCATTGGATTGATTTTTGGTTTGCTTGTAGGGCGCTAGCACCCACATTCAGTGACCCAGAAATTTTGGCACTGCTGTGAATAGTTTAGTCGCAAAGTGAAGATTCACGGGTACCAAGCCCTAAACTTGGAGATAAGTTATAATTCAGCTTTCAGCAGCCCTGGGCGAGTTCTTTAGAGATACGTGACTGTTTTTCTTGGTGCGCTTGTCTATGTCCAGCTACACAACCAGATGAGGATGGTCATTTTCATTTTGTGACCTGCGAACGGGCAGAAAAGTGAGAAAATGTCGGATTTTGACCATTTGTGCTCAATTTTGAATTTTAACCTACCTCTCTAGCTGTTATGTTAGTGGTTGCATTGGTTTGATTTTTGGTTTGCTTGTAGGGCGCTGGCACCCACATTCAGTGACCCAGAAAATTTGGCACTGCTGTGAATAGTTTAGTCGCAAAGTGAAGGTTCACGGGTAAAAAGGCCCAAAATTTGAGATAGGCTATTAACTCATTCAGCTATCAGCAGCCCTCGGCGAGTTCTTTAGAGAAACGTGGCTCTTTTTCTGTGGGGTTGCATTTTGTTGTTTTTGCCATGTGATTAAGCAATCACGAGTGAAACGAGGGTTGCCTGCTGCTCCTCGTTGCTGGTCTTGAAGAAGAAAAAAATCACGCCTATTTGCTGCTGCTAGCTGCCAATATTGATGCTGTCCCTGCGTTCGCCGCCTCCAACTGCTGAGGTGTCTCGTGCTGTGGCACTACCACACCTTGGTCCGCCCTGCGTTTATCCGGCATCGTACTCTCGTACTCTGCTCCTGCTGCCGTACTCTCGCGTCGTGGCCTCGTAGGTACGTCTTAAGCAGGATTCAGAGAAGCTTTTTTTGCGATGCGACACTCGATGCGACGCGATCTGCGATGGACGCGTGCGATGCGAACTCGCGAAATACCATTCACAGAAGAAGTCAGCGATGCAACAAAGTCTTGCTGATTTGGGTATGTCACCATGGTATTCGCGCGGTTTGGTACAACTTGTACAAATTTATAGGCGACTCTTGAACCTTTGTACAACTTTGCTGTAGAAAAGGCCAACATCGCACGCCAAATTGCTTGTCGCATCGCAAAATTTGAGCCAAGCTCAACTTCCGCGATGGCCCTGTTGGGGCAGCTGCGTGGGGTCCGCGATGGTTGCGATTTGAGGATTTCCCGGTTTCGCGGCTGTCGCATCGCGTGTCGCATCTTTTAAGCGGGATTCACAGAAGCTTTTTTTGCGATGCGACACGCGATGCGACGCAATCTGCGATGGACACGCGCGATGTGAACTCGCGAAATACCATACACAGAAGAAGTCAGCGATGCGACAAAGTCTTGCTGATTTGGGTACGTCACCATGGTATTCGCGCGGTTTGGTACAACTTGTACAAATTTAAAGGCAACTCTTGAACCTTTGTACAACTTTGCTGTAGAAAAGGTCAAAATCGTACGCCAAATCGCTTGTCGCATCGCATCGCAAAAGTTGAGCCAAGCTCGACTTCTGCGGTGGCCCAGTTGCGGCAGTTGCGTGGGGTGCGAGATGGCTGCGATTTGGCGATTTCCCGGTTTCGCGGCTGTCGCATCGCGTGTCGCATCGCAAAAAAAGCTTCTGTGAATCCCGCTTTACGCTATTTGCGCTTGCCACGTGCTTATGCTTGTGCCTTACCTGGTGGGCTCTCGCGCCTTATTTCCCATATAAGCATGTTGGTGTCTGTCATTGTGGACCGGGCGGCATCCGGGGACTTTGCCTCTTCCATACGTGGTATGTTTTGCTCCGCCACACCGCCTGTTCTATCTTGCATTATCAGTTAGTACTGTACCTTAGCTGAGGCTTAGTACGCGCGCTGGAGTCCTTCCATGCCATGACAGGAACTGCTTCCTAATAATTATAGAGATTAGGCGCCATGAGCCTTGCTTGTAGATAACATTGCAGTAGTAGCGCTGATACCTTTATGCGCATATGGGCGTACTCGTACTCATGATGCGGCCTGAGCTTTCCCCAGTACGGCTGCCCGCCATTGCATGCCAGACACGCCCATTGTTGCGCGCCTAGCCACGCGCGTGGCTTTTGCTTGCTGCTCGGTTGTCAGCGATAACTACGGTTTGCCGTACGCTGCAAACCTACATATTCTGACCATTTGTGCTCGCCTTTCAATTTCAATGTACCTCTCTATAACATGACCCAGCTGTAATGTCAGTGGTCGCATTGGTTTGATTTTTGGTTTGCTTGTAGGGCGCTGGCAACCACATTCAGTGACCCAGAAAATTTGCACGACTGTGAATAGTTTAGTCGCAAAGTGAATAGTTTAGTCGCAAAGTGAATAGCTTAGTCGCAAAGTGAATAGCTTAGTCGCAAAGTGAATAGCTTAGTCGCAAAGTGAATAGTTTAGTCGCAAAGTAAAGATTCACGTCCCAAGCTTGCAGATACTGTAAAACCGGAAAGGCTAACGTTTTAACCCTTTGTGCGCTCAACGAGCGATTTCGCTCGTTTCCAATGCGCGTCACATTTTTGATCGTCACGCTTGACTGGTTTACTGCATCGCGCCGAGACTTCACCACCGCGTAGCTGAGAAGATTTCCGTGGCATAGGTACTACACATGACGTAGGTTGCCACTAAGAATTTTTTCATAGCACGATTTGAAATTGATTTTGCGATATGTCAAAATTAGAATTTTGACTTCTCGCTCCACATAATTATACTGGCATACACAGAGACATAGACAGCAATAGCGACAACACACAAAGTGAAGGATAGTTGGCCGCAGCCAGATGAAGGGTATACCGTTGGGCGCAGCCAGATGTGAACCGGATAACGAGTGAGGTATGGAAGCAAGGACTGAGAACAGAGTGTCTCAGATAGAATAGGCGTGCCAGTGGATAGCAGGAATAGGCCATGATGCAGAACCACTTGGGACCGTCAGATTAATTTTCCTGGACCGAACCCGCCGGGAAAAAACCCTCGCGCCGACGGACGCATTTGTGAGGGAACAAACCGGGTGTATATCCCCAATGGTGATTAGGCATCATGTAGGCATGGCAAACACATCACAGCAAACAGTGATAAGAAGCAATGATAAATTAGCCTCATGAACTCTGCTGCTTGTTGGTAGCTGACAAGACCGTGGGGAAAAGCGATACTGATAGCGATCAAGTGAAGACGACGAAATAGTAGATATTGTAATTATTTGAAAATAATTTGAGGTGCTCTGTTCGTCTGTCACCTACCGTCGTGGAGGCGATTTATTCCCTACAAATCAAAGACTACAATGAAGATTTGTCAGACACTGACGTCCGTCCCATGGCTTAGTCAAATGGTGTAAGAGTATCCGAAATAAGATGGATTGTTTCTGATCGTGTGGAACAAATTTGACAAGACCAGTAGAGCGTGAATGGGTACATCTACACGTACATGTAGAACCATTGATATTGAGTTAGTAGTAGGCTAACTGCTGCAAAGATTTATCTTTCAGGTTTGTGAAAGAAGGAATTTTCCAAACACTGTACTAGAAACCAAAGTTTGCATTGAACGGCGATGCTCATTACTATGCGTCTTTGTCATGTCGTTTAATGTTTCTATGACAACTCCTGTGCTGGACGAGCATTTGTTGTCATTGACTCAATTTCTTTTACTCTCCATAGGCTATTGGACTATATTCCTTACTCGGTCTATTTATAACCAGTATCTATATGAGAATGTGGTGTGTCTCTATGGTTACCGGTGTTCGGCACACCCGGTTCATGTAGCATGTTGCAAATTAAGATGCTCTTGTTTGTTGCTGATAGAAAGATTGCCACTTCCCTAGTTTTGTTTCACCAATATGCTTTTCTTTTGACAACTATAGCCACTTCCCTTTTTAGACCTTATCTGGAAGGCCCATTCTTGCATATTCAAGCAGCAGCCAAGGGAGCTAGCTCTCTTGGTTATGCTGGTAGAAGGACTGGGTCCGACCCACCGTCCGAGGGGATCCATTTCCTGTGGATATGAGATCCCCTAGTTTGAGGGGATTATGAGCCATAATCCCCTCAAACTAGGGGAAATATCCGTAGATCACCTGAAAAGGGTGGTCTATATATAGGATATTGCACGGTTCAGAGGGGATTATTTTTCAAATCCCCAAGGCGAGAAAGATTGCCACTTCCCTAGTTTTGTTTCACCAATATGCTTTTCTTTTGACAACTATAGCCACTTCCCCTTTTTAGACCTTATCTGGAAGGCCCATTTCTGCATATTCAAGCAGCAGTCAAGGGAGCTAGCTCTCTTGGTTAGGCCCCGGTCACACCGAAACAAGCCACTTTGGGCTTGTTATCGCTGGCGCTCAGCTGGCTTGCGTGATCCCTGTGACGCGGTCCCACCAGACCTTGAGTGCAAAGCTTGAATGGCTTGTTTTTCTTACCCGCCAAATTTTGAATATCTCGAAACACACCAATGTTTGCAAGAAACTGGAGAGCAGAACGTTCGCGATCTAAAACTGTACTTGTTCTAGTGTTCAGTTTTGATGAAGAAGCAAAGGAAGCCCGGATTCTGAATTGCGAAGTCGTGCTCCTTTGTTCGGTGTGCATGGACGCGATGGTTCGGGTGGTGTTTCCTGATGTCGAGCTTTCTGCCCCGCCGGTTGCCGTTATTGAACTCAGTTGCAATCCACTCTCTTCTTCGTACCCGGCTTTCTTCATGGATTCGGTCGTGAGTGTGGTGCCTTGTCTTGGCCTCAAACCACAGCTCCAACAATCTACGCAGCAGTCTAGAGGCACAGCGGCAGAAATCCATGGTCGTCGGACAAAATCCAAATCAAACTGAGTACAGTGTAGTTGGGGTAGACAGACTCACGGTCAAAACCAAAGGCACAGGGATAGCACGGTTCCACGGACACAAGAAAGAACATCAATATCAGTTCATCATGTCAACTAGCTACATGGTGTGCTCCGGAGCTCCAAGCGCACTCAGATTATTTTTTGAATTTCGGCTTTCAGCCGCTTGTACAAGCTGTGGCTGAAACAAGCCGGAAAAAAACGGCTGAGAGTCAGCCACGGCTGAAAGTCGCTTGTAAGTTGTAGGACATTTTTCAGCCATTTCCATGGTAATAGTGACGTAAACAAGCGCTTGTTTCGGCTGAACGGCTGAATCGAGCTCGGTGTGACCGCGGCCTTATGCTGGTAGAAGGACTGGGTCGGACCCACTGTCCGAGGGGATCCACAGGATTTCCTGTGGATATGAGATCCCCTCGTTTGAGGGGATTATGAGCCATAATCCCCTCAAACTAGGGGAAATATCCGTAGATCACCTGAAAAGAGTGGTCTATGTATAGGATATTGCACGGTTCCGAGGGGATTATTTTTCAAAGCGCCGCGGGGATTATGAAAAATAATCCTCGCGGACGCCGTGCAATATCCTGTATAGACCACGCTTTTCGGGTGATCAGCAGCGCTGCATGCGGCATGAACCAGTGCACTGTGAACGGAACACCGAACGCGAAGTACCGGTAGTTCTGATAGTCGTTTGTTCGTCGCCTCTCCAGGTTTTGATCCACTTATTGGTTTGACTGAGGCGAATGCGGATTGTCACACACTTTCTCTGGTTTGTCTCCCAAGACGAAGCCTCATGAACTCTGCTGCTTGTTGGTAGCTGACAAGACCGCGGGGAAAAGCGATACTGATAGCGATCAAGTGAAAACGACGAAATAGTAGATATTGTAATTATTTGAAAATAATTTGAGGTGCTCTGTTCGTCTGTCAACTACCGGCGTGGTCTTTGAAAGAAGGAAATTTTCAAACACTGTACTAGAAACCAAAGTTTGCATTGAACGGCGATGCTCATTACTATGCGTCTTTGTCATTTCGTTCAATGTTTCTGTAACAACTCGTGTGCTTGACGAGCATTTGTTGTCATTGACTCAATTTCTTTTACTCTCCATAGGCTATTGGATTATTTTCCTTACTCGGTCTATTTATAACCAGTATATATATATGAGAGTGTGGTGTGTCTCTATGGTTACCGGTGTTCGGCACACCCGGTTCATGTAGCATGTTGCAAATTAAGATGCTTTTGTTTGTTGCTGATAGAAAGATTGCCAATTCCCTAGTTTTTGTTTCACCAATATGCTTTTCTTTTGACAACTATAGCCACTTCCCCTTTTTAGACCTTATCTGGAAGGCCCATTCTTGCATATCCAAGCAGCAGTCAAGGGAGCTAGCTCTCTTGGTTATGCTGGTAGAAGGACTGGGTCCGACCCACCGTCCGAGGGGATCCACAGGATTTCCTGTGGATATGAGATCCCCTCGTTTGAGGGATTATGAGCCATAACCCCCTCAAACTAGGGGAAATATCCGTAGATCACCTGAAAAGGGTGGTCTATGCATGAATCTAGTAGTGTCAGTACATTCGGGGGGGGGGGGGATTACTGCGTGCAGCCTGCACTGCAGGCTGCACCAGCACTGCAGGCTGCAGTGCTGGTCCAGTAAGACCTGAGATAGCATAGCCCATGCTACGTGTGTGCCTACATTTCAAGCTACAGACTACAGTAGCGAAATGCTGCGGAATGCCATGTAGATCTACACTGGTACATGATGTAGGCTTGTAGCACTCTGTACATGTGATGATAGTTGGGCGAACGTGTGCTAGTTCAGACTGGGTTGATGACAGAAAGGGAGAAGGCATACAACCGGTCATCATAGATCTACTCAGCAATCAGCATGAATGTCATGATACGTATGATATCTAATAATAGTAATATTGACTAAGTACAAGGTACATGTAAGTACTAGTAGGCCGAGGCGAAGCCGAGGTAATTTTATTTACGAGGTCTTTTATTTCCTATACTGACCAAGTACGAAGTCAATATTAGATTTATCACGACTAGCCAAAGCCTGTGTTCAATCGCTCAAAATCAGTCAGATATAAGCGGTCAATATAGCCCTAAGGAAGGAAATATGCAGGAATATTTGACTGCTTAGGTATGGCAAAAATCTATGGTAGTCAATTCTAAGGGAGTGATAAAATGAAATAAAAGACCTCGTAAAAGACCGAGGCGAAGCCGAGTCCCCCGAGGTTTTTCATAACTGGTATGTAATTGCAATAAATTCTGAGGCTACTACATTTTAATATACATGTTGACCTTCACTTTCCCTAAAAAGGAGTATTTTATACACAGTATTATTTTATTGGCCCAAAAGCCAATAAATACTGTTTATAAATACTCCTTTATAGGGAAAAGTGCGGTGCTACATGGAAAAGTGCAGTGGTATTTATTGAGTCAAAGCAAATGTATTCGAATTTGATACTCTAGATGGTGTGGTCACTAATGAGTGTAGGTATTTATCAAAGGTCAATACATGTATATGGTATGGCAAAAATCGATGGGAGTCAATACTAAGGGAGTGGTAGATAATAATAATTATTACATGTATAAAGACGGCGATGAGGCCATTACCTCATCACAACGTCCACTTTGGTCTTGAGCTGAATGTTGTTGTGGTGTGTTATCTTGTGTTGTTTATAGTGCCTCCAGTACCCGTATCGAGAGCCTTGGAGTCGGGTAATGGGCATATTGTCACCACAACACAATGCACCATAACAACACAAGATAACACACCACAACAACATTCAGCTCAAGACCAAAGTGGACGTTGTGATGAGGTAATGGCCTCATCGCCGTCTTTGCCGTTGCCTCCCCCAGAACCACCACCTATTACATGTATCCTTCAGTAACGTCTGGCACTAGCCAGTGTCCACACAGCTTTAATCATTCCCGTAGCTATGCAGAAGACGTTGCTTCAGTAACGTCTGGCGCTAGCCAGGGTCCACACAGCTTTAATTTGGTGTTTGTTTGTTTGTGTGTTTGTTTGTGTGTTTGTGTGTTTGTGTCACGCCTGGCGCTACCCCGTATCTGTCCCGTACCGTACCGTACCATCAAACACAGCTGGCCACATACAGCTGGCCGCAATATTCAAATAGGGCTTTCAAACGCAAGATCATAACGTGAAGCAACTTGGAAGAATGAGTATGAATGCGAAGTGTATGGGGGAATGCATGTAGGGCGATAATGCGGGTTCGAATCCCAGGTAATGCCTGAAAAAGGGGAGAATTGAAAAATTTATAACATCCCTTTTCATTTTTTGCCGTCATCAAAGCGGTAGACGGTATCGCATTACCCTCGACCGTACATGTCCCGTACCTGTCCCGTACCCGTCCCGTACCTATCCCGTACCGTACCATCAAAGACGGCTGGCCACAATGCATATTCAAATAGGGCTTTCAAATACAAGATCATAACGTGAAGCAACTTGGGCGGTGTTTACATGAGGCGTTTCAACCCGGGTTGAGTTCGACCCGGGTCAGATTTCAACCCATGTGCATAAAATGAATTGCGCGTTTACATGACGCATTGCGCTTGACCCGGGTTGAAATTTCGCCCCCGGTTGATTTCAACCCTCCCCCCAAGGGGAGGGTTGAAATCAACCCGGGTCAAGAAAATCGTACAAACGTACTTCTGTGTGTATCTCGCGCCAGGTTTGAACGGCACTGCAGATGCAAATTTCGCGCGAACGGATTCACGTGACCATACAGGACTGTAGAAGTGGACTTTTGGCGGCATATCAGTATTTGACCCGGGTCAACTGTCTTCATGTAAACGCTCACCTCTTTTGTCTATCGTACAGACTTTCAACCCGGGCTGAACTCGACCCGGGTTGAAATTTCTCATGTAAACACAGCCTTGGAAGAATTAGTATGTATGCGAAGTGTATCGGGGGATGCATGCAGGGCGATAGTGCGGGTTCGAATCCCAAGTTATGTCTAAAAACAAAAAGTAGAAACTTATAAGAATTTATAACATCCCTATGCTTTTTTTGTCTAGGTCATCAAGGCAAACAAAGCATAGCGTAGGGCCCTGAGCTTCCAAGCTCTCTCGTTTGGTATTTGTTTGTTTGTTTGTGTCACGCCTGGCGCTATCCCATATCTGTCCCGTACCGTACCGTACCATCCAAGACAGCTGGCTACAAACAGCTGGCCACAATACATGTACAGTCAGACCTCGCTTAACCGCACACATCCGTTTTCCACAAAAATATCCGGATGGGCGAGGGAACCGGATAATCGAAAACACACACTGTGTGTGTGCATAGCATTGCTGTAAATCGGTGACCAGAAATTTTCTTCCGGATGGCGAGGGATCCGGATAAATGAGGACCGGATAAGCGAGGTGTGACTGTATTCAAATAGAGCTTTCAAATGCAAGATCATAACGTGAAGCAACTTGGAAGAACGAGTATGAATGCGAAGTGTATCGGGGAATGCATATAGGGCGATAGTGCGGGTTCAAATCCCAAGTAATGCCTTGAAAAAAATAGAATAATTGACAAATTTATAACATCCCTATGCTTTTTTTGCCTAGGTCATCAAGCTGCAAGGTGGTAGACGGTGTCGTAGTACCCTCGACCGTACCCTGTCCCGTACCGTATCGTACCATCAAAGACGGCTGGCCACAAGCAGCTGGCCACAATATTCGAATAGGGCTTTCATGTGCAAGATCATAACGTGAAGCAACTTGGAAGAATTTGTATGTATGCGAAGTGTATCGGGGGATGCATGCAGGGCGATAGTGTGGGTTCGAATCCCAGGTTATGTCTTTAAAAAAAAATAGGAGAAATGAAACATTTATAACATCCCTATGCTTTTTTTTCCTAGGTCATCAAGGCAAAGAAAGCATAGCGTAGGGCCCTGAGCTTCCAAGCTCTCTCGTCATTACACTACAGTGGCCAGTGCCTATCCGGCTTCATCTGATATAACATAGTCATTACTCTCCTCGGATCCCATCCTCACTCGGCTGGGCTGTTGAAGCACACCAGCTGGCTGTGATGCGGTAGACAAGTTGGTGGTTGACAAATTACTTGCATTGCCTTGGTTTTTCTTCACCACCTCGCCATAAGCAGGGTTCTCGGTGAATTCTCCAGCTGGGTAGGTGACGGCAGTAAAAGCAGGATTCCTGGTGAATTGTCCAGCTGGGGAGGTGGCGGCAGTAAAAGCAGGATTCCTGGTGAATTGTCCAGCTGGGGAGGTGACGGCAGTATAAGCAGGATTCCTGGTGAATTGTCCAGCTGGGGAGGTGACAGCAGTAAAAGCAGGATTCCTGGTGAACTGTCCAGCTGGGGAGGTGACGGCAGTAAAAGCAGGATTCCTGGTGAGCTGTCCAGCTGGGGAGGTGACGGCAGTAAAAGCAGGATTCCTGGTGAACTGTCCAGCTGGCGAGGTGACGGCAGTAAAAGCAGGATTCCTGGTGAATTGTCCAGCTGGGGAGGTGACGGCAGCAAAAGCAGGATTCCTGGTGAATTGTCCGGCTGGGGAGGTGACGGCAGTAAAAGCAGGATTCTCGGCGGATTGTCCGGCTGGCCGTGTACTTGCACTTGATGTCATCATAATATTATGATGGCTATTGTCTTCTCTCACTATACCATAGGCTTCGTTGTCAGTGCTATGTAGATGTGATTCTGTGCCAGCCGCGTTGGTTAAGTGCATTGAGCTGTTCTGGAGTGATTGGCAAGTACTCAATAATGCGGAGTTGTCTCTGAACAGATGTTGTTCTTGATTCTTCGTAACGGTTGTGAGGGCATGTACTTCCTTTCCTCCCGAGTCACTGAATCCATGATGTGTGGAATAAATGCTTCTGCGCCGAGTGGAGGCTGCACGTTTTAGAATGATGATACTGAATAGCAGAATTACGCTACACCCAGCTGCTGCACAAGAAATGGCAACCGTGGTTTGAGTTGAGAAGCCCTTGGTTGCAGACTGTTTGTCATCCTCCCCTGAGTGACAACAAAGCAGAGAAAGGATACGATATGTTCATGGACATGTGGGTGACTACTACTCCCCCCCCCCCCCCCCCCCCCCCCCCCGCTACCATACATGTACAAGAGATTGTTTCCAGTATGGTCTCTCTCTTTCTTTTTTCAGTCTCATAATTTTTGAAGTCAAGTCGTGACTCGTGCGTTTTGGACGATGTCCGATCATTTAGCTCTGTCACCTTCGACGTTTGCCGGTGTTTTCTTCCGTTGGGCTTGGTTTTTGGGTTGCTCCGGTTGACACCTCCAACGTCCTTTTAAATTTTTTTTTAATTTTTTGTTAGGTACCTCCTCCCGTACAATCTTACCTACAACCTTTCCTAAGCTGGCCGGCCTGCATGCACCCGTGCTACGTCATACTCACCTTTCGTTCCGTTGGCCTGGGTAGCTACATGCGCGCCCATGTTTGCCATAGCTACCCAGGCCCTTTATGGCGTTGGGCGCCAATGTTGAGTATGAAATAGACGCAATATTCTCCAGACACAATTCACAACGGGACTGGTAGGTGGAACGACATTAATTAGGGTAGACGAAGAGACGGAGACAAAGACAAACTACTACGACTACATTATGATTATAGACGGGAGCGAGATTATTATTTTGAAGAGAGCGAGATTATTGAAGAGAGAGAGCTCGACTGAGAAACAACGCAATATACAGGGCCTGGGTAGCTATGGCAAACATGGGCGCGAAAAGCACAGCAATCGACAGAGCACCCGCACATTCCACGCCTCGCATAACTTATAACCTATATTGTAGCAGCAATATTGAGAAATCTATCAGACAGAGTAAACCAGCACTGTCACAATCATGACCTGTGTGTGAAACCGTACAAAGCTCCTCATTGGGAGGGAGGGAGGGTGGGAAACCAGCTTGCAAAGCAAGAAAACAAAATATGAGGAAGTACAAGTACGCCCAAAACTGTCAGACCTCGGTCCCAGACCTGTTTGTTCGAAAATAACAACATTAATTTTCTTGTTCATTTCGTAAAACTCAGCCAACAAGAAATGAAAACTTCTTTTCTCACTCACAAGTCAGTACAGTCTGTACTATATACACACCTGCACACATACTCTCACACACACACACCTACACACACACACACCTACACACACACACACACACACACTCTCTCTCTCTCTCTCTCACACACACACACACACACACTCATACACACACACACACTCATCACAGAATAAACAACTGCGGGGACAGCCACAGCAAGGACGCTAAAGCATAGCAGCAGAATCACACAGCTAGCACTTGGGACACCTGCAGCAGATTGGGCTGGGACTCCTGAATGTAAGCCTTCATAGCATCACTTCTCCATCTTTCCTGTCGCTGAATGAGCCTACCGTATTTTCCGGAGTATAGTGCGCACCTTTGCATAACGTGCACCCCCAATCTTCATTGGGGGTGCGCACTTCAATCTTCATTGAAGTACATGCATTTCATATTCGGAGCATAGTGCGCACCTGCGATTTAGGGCCTAAAATAGCACATCTAAAGTGCGCACTATACTCCAGAAAATACGGTATCTGGTACTCCTGCTGCAGCAGCCGTGGATGCACCTCCCGACCTCCAACTGTGTAAACCATACCCGTCTGGGTTTACGCCGATACGCTTCAGAGCTTCACGCACTTGCTCTCTTGCTCTGCTGTAGGATAGCGAGTGTTTGATGGCGGTCCTGCCCTTCACACGAGTTATACGCCCGAACAGCTTGACATGACCTTGGTGCCCTCCTTTTTCAATCAGATGCTCCACTAGCGATACCGGGCACAGGTCACTATCCCACCGGCTGACGAACACCCAGCTACCTTGCCTCAGCTGGTCGTTCTTGCGAACTTGCAGGAAGACCGCCATACGCGATGAATTGATGGCTACCTCATCCACGAAGATGTTGGCCAAATCATCCCACCTCATCATACCGGCATAACTCCAGCAATTCACCCACACCCACAGCTTTCCACTGCCAGGCAGTTGCTTACGTGCTCAGAGCACAATCACCTCCCCACAGTGGGGACATCCTGCAGCAGGACCTCACAGGCACTGCATGCACGCATTCTCGCTCATCGCCGCATGCTCCACAAACAGACATCATTCCCAAGCTACCACCCCCCCCCGGTGCGTCTGCCCAGTGTTGACTCCGAGACCCACGGTCGGACGAGCTGCCCAGGCCTCACCACCACTGCCGTTTCCGTGCTGCCTTCTCGATACATATGTATGTACACTGTATATCATGTGCACATTCACATGTCTGAAGGTTTGTGGTTTTTCAATAAAAAAAATAAAATAAAAAAAATTCCGTCAGAGAAAACCACACCGGCCAGGGAATTACAGCATCCCTCTTCTAACAAACACAGTTTGTCACTGTACAAATGCGTAGCGCATACCTTGACCTTTGACGCCCATCGCCAGAGGCGATGATAGCGATGCTACGGCAGAAGCCATAGCAACTTGTGCTGGGATTGCACCATTCAACAGCTTGCAAGGCTGAAGAATTGACCGTCACTATTCAGCCTGGTCTACACCATACAGCTATTTGAAGTGACATTTTCTGGCCAGTGAATCCCTATTTTTGGTCTTTTTCTTCTTCTTTTTCTTCTTTTTTCTTTTTTTTTCCCGCACACACATCACACCACATACTCCGGCATGCACTGGCTGTTGGTAACCACCCAGGAGAATGAAAGAAAAGTCAGGAAGAGTCTGAGAAAGAGAAGAAAGACGTGTGTGACCATAATCATCGGGAATCGAACCCGCAACCTATCGATTGGAAATCGCTGCACATACCACTGCACCATATGGGACACACACGTCACAAGGACTCACACTGCCACCAAAGAAATTGTATGGGCAGGTACCCTCCAGGAAGGTATCATGAGACTTTGGCAGGCTGATTGCCTCCTCAACAAATTCTGCCCACTTTGGGCCACTACGCAACTTTGGCCACCATGGCTCCGATTGCCATTCTGGAACAACCAAAGTAGCGTGGCATTTTGACACGATCAACATACCACACGCCCTATCAAGTACATTGGTGGTACCAGCCAAACTCTTTCTCTGCTCCAATTCACAGTGAATGCATCAATACCCGAACACCCCGGGTTCCACCACCGTGAGCAGAATCTACTCATTTGCTTTGTTCTGCTGCTTGCAAAGCAATCAATTATGTGAGGGCCCCACATCGAATCCAGCCAATCGAACAATTTGGGATTTAACTGCCAGTCATCTGTATCAGACAGCTTTGAAAGGTAATCGGCCAGCTTGTTTTCTTCGCGAGGCACCCATTCTGCCAGCAACTGAATACCATGCACGGCGCACAGCTTGTGAATCTCCAGTGCTTCGCTCTGCAAATGAGATTTTTGAACTGCCTACTTGTACTTGTATGATGTGCACGGCTGCCTGGTTATCGCTTCTGTGAATGCAAATGCCACCTTCAATCTCTTTCGACAGCGAACTCAGAACCAACAAAATAGCCCGCAACTCACGCCATGTGGAGCTGGCACTAGCCTGCACACTTTCTTTGGTCCATTCCCCTTTAGCTAATTCAGTTCCTTTTGATGTGACTGAGAAACCTCCCCAGCCAGAGTTGCTCGCGTCGGACCACGAGAGCACTGTCACCCTCTGGGGTCATTTTTCCAAAAAGGTTGACCGCGGCATTGACTAAACGAACCAGACCACAACTCCAGATCTTGAAGCGCCATTTGAGACCAGCTGAGTTTTGCATGCCACGACTCACGGTTCATAATCAGTGCATAAAATGACCTCGTCCTCAACCTGCAAATGGGGCCTAATGCCAGCGACATAGATAGCAAATACCCCGTAAGCCTGGCCAACTGTCTGGCAGTTGGGTATTCGACCTGTGACAGCTTTTCTACAAACGTCTTCAGCTTTTCCACCCGTCCCTTAGTGACCCGTATGATCCCTTCCCTCATGTCGACTTCCATGCCAAGCATTTCTACCGTCCGTGAGGGCTCCCAGTGGCACTTATTTTCGTTTTGGACAAATCCGGCCTGAACTAGATCTGATTTCAATCTTTTCGCTACTGCCCGTGCAACCTCGACCGTAGAGTGGCAACCCGACCCATCATCCATGTAAAGCTGGCACCTGATGCCGTCCCTCCGCCAGTGTCTGAGTAAGACACGGGTTACCTTTGTGAAAATGTATGGGGCAGTGGTTAGACCGAAAGGCAGAACACAGAAAACGATCGAACCACCTGCGATCACCCCGTTCCCCACCCAGGAGAAACCTAAGTACTTCCAATACGCCTTCGCAATTTCAATATGATGGTACCCACTCTTCATATCAAACGTTACCAAAATAGTCTCCCTGAGAGTACACATTTGCCTCGACCTTCATGTCCTCGAGCTTGAACTTTAAGTTTTGCAAAAGCTTGTTTACATACCTCAAGTCCACAATGAGTCGTAGCTTCTTGCCGTTGTTGACAACGCCTAATGGACTGGTGACTACAACATCATCCCTTTTACTTCTTGAATGCAACCCTGGTTCAGCAGACTTTCCACCGAGTCACAAACAAACTCGGCATTCTCGCATGCACTGCGGTTGTTTGCAAATTCTCTTGCACGCGGGACCTCTATGAAGGGCAGTGCGTATCCATGCAGTACTATGGTTTGAATAAACCTAGATGCCCCCATCACGCGCCAAAATTGCATACATTTAGCTAGGCTACCTACTTGAACATCTTGAACACCAACTTCACGCACATCCCACCCACCATCAGCCTCCATCAAATAAGAATCAACATCTCTTCCTTCATCGGAATGAATTGGTGTAACAACAGCAGGCTTTTTTTCTAGCAGCGGGGGCAGAGATGGAACTGCCGGAGCAGGGGTTGCTGTGACGCCCGGCGTGAAGGGGATTGGGGAATTGCCCCAGCTCCTGGACAAGGTGGCTGGGGCACTGCCACAAATGGGCTGCCTAACATTAACAATGGGGGCTCTTTGCTTCGTGCTTTGAATCGCAGCGATTAGCTTTTTTGACTTTTCGGAGGACGACATGATGTCGACCAGCTCACCCCCCTCTTGAAACCTGCTGGCCGGTTTGTGCCGATGCACATCCGCCACCGCCAACTATTCTTGTCTAGCAGACAGCAACGACTCACCTCTTCTGAGCCTCTTAAAGAGACTCCGGCCACCGGGCCTTCAGCTTCCGCAGGGCCCCGCCTGGTTTTCTTGAGTTGACATTGCAGCTGCTCATTCAGGCCGTGCTGCACTTTTCAAGATCTTGTCTTCCACTTTGGCGCTGACATCGAGGTAGAGGATGTTCGTGACTTCTTCGATTTTTGGAATTTTTTGGTTTTTCTCTTCCGGCGGGAGTCGTCCGACGAGTCAGACAAATCTGATGACGAGGACGATGACGAAGATGATGACGAAGACGATGAAGACGACGACGATATATAAACATTACGACGTTTACGCTTGGATGAGGACGACTCGTTTCCCCGTTCCAGCTGTCCCTCGAGGAGCCTGATTCTCAGGGCGCTGGGCGCTCTCTTCCTTTTCCGCCTGAAACTTCTCCCTCATTGCATTGAGCTCCACGCCCAGCTGCGCTGCCTCGGGGCCTCGGATTTTCTCCTTGGAGGTACGAGCTGCGCTGCCGAGGGGCCTTGGATTTCCTTGGAGGCATAACGGAAAGGCAGGTACGACTCAACAAATTAATGATGAAATAAAGGGAGTCCAGAAAAAAGGCAACCAGCTTGCAAAGCAAGAAAACAAAAGATGAGGAACTGCTGCGTACCAGTACGCCCGGAACTGTCGGACCTCGGTCCCAGACCTGTTCGTTCGAAAAGAACAACATTTCTTGTCTATTTCGTAAAACTCAGCCAACAAGAAATGAAAACTTCCTTGTTCTTTAATATTAATTTAGATTTTCCAGTAGTCCTTCTGAAGAGATGGCCACGAAAACGTTCGAGTTTAATAAGTCGGACCAAGTAGGTCCTTTTCTCTTTACATATCGCTATTGTCTCAACATCCGAGTTCTTGTTCGTATCGTTTCAACATCAGTTTTGAAATGATTTCTGTGCATATACCATCAGATCTATAGGCTGAAATCATGCCATTGTTACCTTCAGTTGGTGTCGATCCATGCCACATAGTTCCCATCATTGTCGTTTTCATTGCCGCGGTGGAAGCTGTTGCTAGTGGTTGTGTTCCTGTTATTACCGCTTTCATTGTAATCAATGTGTTCGTTTTTCTTGTTGTTCTTGCGGCTGATGTGGCTGGTGCTTCTACTGTCAACATTGCTGTTGGTGCTTTTGTCATCCGTTTTGCCTCCGATGTTCCTGCTGCTGCCGTTGTCGATGTGGTCGCCGAGACTGTCACTCCTGGTGTCATACCAAGCTTTCCTGATGTTGTTATCGAAGCAGGTGTTGTCATTGACGCTGCTGCTGTTGTTGGTGTTGTCGCTTCTGCCGTTGCTACTGCTGATGTTGTTGTTGGTGTTGTTACTGCTGAGGCTGCTTTCGTTGTCACTGCTACTGCTACTGTTGGTGCGGTGGTTGGTATGGTGGTTGGTGTGGTGGTTGATATGGTGGTTGGTGTGGTGGTTGGTGTGGTGGTTGGTGTGGTGGTTTGTGTGGTGGTTGGTGTGGTAGTTGGTGTGGTAGTTGGTGTGGTGGTTGGTGTTGTTGTCGGGGTGGTGGTTGGTGTGGTTGTCGGGGTAGTTGTTGGTGTGGTGGGCGGGGTAGTTGTTGGTGTGGTGGTTGGTGTGGTGGTTGGGGTAGTTGTTGGTGTGGTGGTTGGGGTAGTTGTTGGTGTGGTGGTTGGGGTAGTTGTTGGTCCAGGTATATCTGAAATCCAAACACCATCAGTAGCAGTCACATTACTAGCAGCCACAACAGCAGTTTCTTCTTCATGAAAACAGCAGCCACAGTAAAGCAACAGCATCAATAGGAGCAGTAGCACATTCCAAATACCAGTTCAGTCAAATGCAATCATTATAATGTAAGCCCTGTGCATGCGGCCAGCGGCCAGCCAGGCACACATGACCATTGCATTTCACACACCATGGTCAGAATCGGAGAGTGAATAATTTCAACCATGGAGAATTCATGCATACTTGGATGGATGCTCGCCTGAATTGTGCTAGTCAGCACTGACCTTCTGTCCTGCTGTATTGTGTTAAGTGACAACGACCATTGAGCGCTACCCCTCACCGTACCCGTGTGGGTCATCATGGCACATCTCCAAACAATCTTGTTTGGGGATGTGAAATGCAAGTTTGTTTGGAAGAGACCACATGCAAGTTTGTTGGTAGAGCATTTTGCAATAGAGTACGAGACAACAAACATTACGCAACTCGCGGCCCGTCGTCTTTCTTTCAGAGTTCCAGGACCTGTGAGAATTTTATCATAATTATAGAAGGCCTTGTCTCGCGTATGTTTCCTGTTCCTTCATATTTGGCTTGTGTGTGTTGGGGGGATAGTATTTGTTGTGTGTGGCTGGGAAGAGCAATAGTACTTGTTGTGTATGTGGGGGAGGGGGGGGCAATAGTACTGGTTGTGTATGTGGGGGGGGGCAATAGTACTGGTTGTGTATGTGGGGGGGGGGGGCAATAGTACTTGTTGTGTATGTGGGGGGGGGGCAATAGTACTTGTTGTGTATGTTGGGGGGGGGGGCAATAGTACTTGGAGGTTAACATAGGCAACTCTATGCCGCTTTGCTAGCTATACAGTACAAGATGTTTCGGATCGGAGCGTTAAAAGTAAGTTCTTCCCGTTCTACTCTTTTAGAGTAAATGAAGGCATTGATCATGCAAGGCCATAGTACACATAGTACACATGTAAACTGTTTTGAAGAAGTATGGCCAGCATGAATTTACACTCAGACTGCAATGACACTAACAACATCAGCGCCTTACCATCCAAGATGATACGGAATGTAGGAAGTACCAGTGATGCAGAACTAACTGCCCATTCCGTTCCCACAGTGATTGTGGATCGTGTGTAGAAGGCATCGCCGGTAGAGGTGAATTGACCACGAATTCCGCAGCCACTGTTGGTTTGCGCAAATCCAAAATAGAGGGATTGGTTGGCATGGATTATCAACTTATCGCCTGTACTTGTAAATCTCTGCCGGTAGTAGACTGCGCCACTGGACGAGCTAAATGCTGTGACGGATGACTGGAAGATATTTTTGTAAGTTGTTGAAGCAGTCTTCTCCCACACGAGAAGTTTCAGTGAGCATGATCCACTGTGGATTGTTTCCCAGCCACTCAGCTGCTTAGCACATCCCGTGGTATAAGTCAGTGGTATCACAACAGATACTTTGCAGTTAAATATTGGGCACACTGATGCACTAGTGTCTGCTGGTTGAGAACCTCGGAGTGAACAACTGTGTACCTCTGTGCAAGTAAGCAAGAGAAGAGAACGTGAACAGGCTGGTATCATTGTAGTGAATTGATTCGGATTGATGGTGGCATTGGCTACAACTGGTGTTATCTTCTCTCCTTTTTTTTTAATGCTTCCCACAGGAAAAATTATCTTTGAAATTTGTTATAGTAGTCATTGGTTTGAGGGAAAGATGCAAACGGGAAAAGTCTGAAGAAACAATTGACTGTCACTGCTAGGATTCGAACCAGGAACCTTCACTTGAGGCTAGCGATGTGTTAGTACATGTATTGGCAAGTACTATACAGTATCACTCTCTCTCACTGCCTCATTCTCTCATACTCCTTCAATCTCTCTCACACTTACTCCGAGCATTTATGTCCTCTCTGTCTCTCTGTCTGTCTCTATCTGTCTGTCTGTCTGTCTGTCTGTCTGTCCGCCCGCCCGCCCGCCTCTCTCTCTCTCTCCCTCTCTCTCTCTCTCTCTCTCTTTCTCTCTCTCTCTCCCTCCCTCCCTCCCTCCCTCCCTCTCTCTCTCTCTCTCTCTCTCTCTCTCTCTCACTCTCTCCCTCCGTCCCTCCGTCCCTCCGTCCCTCCGTCCCTCCTTCCTTCCTTCCCTCCCTCCCTCCCTCCCTCCCTCCCTCCCTCCCTCCCTCCCTCCCTCCCTCCCTCCCTCTCTCTCTCTCTCTCTCTCTCTCTCTTCCTCCCTCCCTCCCTCCCTCCCTCCCTCCCTCCCTCCCTCCCTCCCTCCCTCCCTCCCTCTCTCTCTCTCTCTCTCTCTCTCCTCCCTCCCTCCCTCCCTCCCTCCCTCCCTCCCTCCCTCCCTCCCTCCCTCCCTCCCTCCCTCCTCTCTCTCTCTCTCTCTCTCTCTCTCTCTCTCTCTCTCTCTCTCTCTCTCTCTCTCTCTCTCTCTCTCTCTCTCTCTCTCTCTCTCTCTCTATCAATCTCTCGCTCTCACTCACTCACTCTCACACTAAAATGTAAAACCAGCAGAAAGCCTTACTTTCACACTTGAATGCGGTTTGATCCAGCAAATATCCATCACCGCACAAGTGAGATAGCGTGGGAAGACATACGCCATCTTTTGATAGACCCGAGCAGATCGTACAGGACGTAGTGCTGTTGAGGATATCACAATCTATGAATAGCATCACACAGCATACCCACACGGCAATGTGCTGCAATGCATCCAAATGCAATACAGGTCAACGAGAAAACACAATGTTACATTTTATATAAAGTTACAATAACACTTTGCCTAGTACAATTGTGATCTACAGCACCGCAAAGTACGAGAGAGCGGCCCGTCTCGGGAAGGTGCCCCGCCCTAAATGTATAGCCAGGAAAGGGATAATCGTGTGGCAAAGTGCAGCTGAGTTTGTATGGTGTGAGAGTCTTAGTGTACTAAGGTCACACTCAGGGGCCGCTTACATGAGAATAATATGCTTGGGCTTATTCAACCTTAGGCTACATTGTAGAATATGAACCGCAATTCAAATACTCATAGCTTACACCACCTACACACCTACATGTACCTATTAGCATTACACCTACCTACTTGTACAAACACCTAACCAGAAACACTTACCTATGAAAGCTTCAAGTTCTGTGGAGGTCAAAACCTTAGAAACAAATCGAATGTCATGAAATCCGGTAAAAGATCGCAGTGTTGTAGAACCGATTCCATTGAGTGTCCCAGTTAGTGGTGCTGAAGACAAAGTAGTCTTTGCCAGTTCTGTGCCACCTACACGCACTGTCAACTGTTTGCTTGTTGCAGCATATGTCAATGAGAAATCTTGCCAGCCATATTTCCTTGACCGTGCACTGTTGTATAATGTGATATTCTGCTTCTGTTGATCCGCAACGGTAATACGCATGTGCATACACATATGCATACACACACACATACACACACACACACACACACACACACACACACACATACACACACGTGAAGACACACCCGTGAACATACATATAACCATAGATTGAGTTACATGATTTACACACACATGTGCACACATGCACCTATGCGTACACATGATGATATTACAGTAAAACCTGTGACTAACGACCACCCCCTGGCACATTGGCCAGAGACAACAGGCAATTATGTTTTTATATGTTTCACCAAAAAGACCACAAAAAAGAACAGATATTCGTCATAATAAAATGACTCAGGCCATTGTCATGATGTGGACTGGGAGCTTTGCGGAAGTACAAGACAATAATATACATGTCCAAGAGGAATACCAAATTCACAAGCAAACGCTGAACTTTTGGGAGATGTCCTACAGTGCCTGCTAAAATATTATTCCAAATCGACAAGAAGCGCTATGTATGGTCCTTCAATAGCAGGTGTGTATATCAGAGCCTCATTGGGCATCTGCCCTTGTTTTTCGGATGCCATTTAATGCTCCTTCTCAAAAAGGACCTGATTATGTCAAAAATTATGACTAACGGTGCTGACGTTCTACAACTAACTGCCAATCAGCTCTAGCATGTCTTGGTTGCATAGTTTAACAGCCTTCCAGCTGCTTGTACGAGGTTCAAAGTTATTCCCGAAGTTATGTTAGTAGAGCCCACGGCGCATCTGCCAGGACAATTTAAATTTTGATATTGTCACTGGCGCGCTGCTCTCCGTCCTCCATCCGCAGTGGGCTAGCTACCCCTCGGATGTCGCCTCTACCATCCTCAGCTTTTCAGCAACCAGAAACCGGGCAACGTCGTCGCAGGCAGAATCCCCCTAGCAGAAGTGATTCTCTAGTGTAATTTCCGCAGGCAGCAGGACCTAGCCAGACATTCGCGGTCCTGCTTGTGATCACACTCCCGTTTTCTGGTCCCCTTTTTCATAGGGGCGACACTTGCGCATCTGGGCAGTCATGCTGCTAGTAGTAGTATTAGTGTATGTGTGTGCGTGTATGTATGTGTGTGTATATGTGTGTGAGTGCGTGCGTGCGTGGGTGCGCGTGTGTGTGTGTGTGTGTGTGTGTGTGTATGTGTGTGCGTGCGTGTGTGTGGGGGGGGGGGAGGGTGTGGTAGGGCCACTGGCACGCTATCGCGCACATGTCCCATCCAAGACAGCTGGCCACATATTCAAATAGGGCTTTCAACACCCGGAACATAACATGAAGCAACTTGATGATCTCTCGTTCAATCATCTCAACTGGAGTGCGCTGCGATATTACCATCCCACACATTACTGTAGTATTAGGGAGGTTTCGCTCTACAGAATTACGTATGAAAATCTGTATGTCATACGCGCCGGGGAGCGAGGGCAACTTTCACACGTACAAGTAGCGGATTTCCGTAGGAAAGCTCTTTCCTACGTTGGGTCCTCCGTAGGACTTTTGAAATATTTTTCGCATCATCCGGATTTATTCATGGCAACGTTCAAGCCGCACGAAACACAAGGTACACACGCCGTACACCACATGCAAAATATAAACAGACAACGCGGTTTTGGTTCGTGGTGCATGCGGTGGGCACATGCAGCCAACGGGTCTCCAAAGCAGCAAGGCATGTTTAGCAGTCGTGGAGAAATCACTCACAGCTCTGATTTTTACGTATCAAAATTACGTGCAGTTACGTTATTTTCATACGTAATTCCGTAGAGCGAAACCTCCCTATTATGACAATGTTACTGCAAAACTACATGTATAATATACATGTAGTTTTGCAGTAACATACAGCAATGATATCATTGCTGTACAAATCTACTTTTACAGTAGATGACAACAGCACTGTAAATCAACATGGAATTATTACTTCAAAGAGAAATTCTCCTGCTCAAAAAAATGTGCTCAATACTCCTATGAGCAGAGTGTAAAACCACGAATTGCAGAGCAGCAAGCTTTGTTGTTACCAATCAATGGCTTCGTGTCCTTGAGAAATCAACAGAAAACAGTTGTTTATGTATAGCCCAAGGGCATGACACCATGGGTAACGACAATGCTTGTTGCTTTGTGATTCGCGGTTAACATCATTACTGCAAAACTACATGAGATCATTCTAGTAAAGTGTATGACATCATTGTAGTAAAGTGTGTGACATTATTGTAGTAAATGACATGACAACATGATTGTACTGCACAATGTAGTCATGTAGGCAGCAGTACAGTGTATAGCCAGTACAGTGTAGGCAGCAGTACACTGAGTGTATAGCCAGTACAGTGTATAGCCAGTACAGTGTATAGCCAGTACAGTGTATAGCCAGTACAGTGTGTAGACAGTACAGTGTATAGACAGTACAGTGTATAGCCAGTACAGTGTGTAGCCAGTACAGTGTATAGCCAGTACAGTGTACAGCCAGTACAGTGTACAGCCAGTACAGTGTATAGACAGTACAGTGTATAGACAGTACAGTGTATAGCCAGTACAGTGTGTAGACAGTACTTACAGTCACACCACCTCCGCTGAACACTAAATATGAATAGTAGCGTCGACTGAATATTGAACCTGTTTGAAAAGGTTGATACTGCACACTTGCACCTGCACATGTATTGTACACGTACACACACACACACACACACACACACACACACACACGCACACACACACACATACACACACACACACACACACACACACACACTTGTACTTGTTTCTCACTGCCAAAACTGGTCACGTGGGTCTCCCCGGGAGAGGGGAGAGAGACTTAAAAGGAATCTTGGAAAGATGCCTCAATTGGCTATTGAACCACCCAATGGCCGACACCCCTGAAATCCCCAAAACTCTGGGTGGCCTTGAAAATGATCCCACTTATGGGCTCACCACACCTCAGTAAGTGGGTGAGGACAAGGTGCGGAAAAAGGATTGACGGCACCAGGGTGTCCGTCCCGGGATCCAACTGCAGTTACCCCTGCCCCCAGTGACGGTAATACTTGCTACTAGTGTGGGTGGCTAAATCAGAGTGGATCTGATATAAGCTTCACTAGCACCATTGATTACACAAGAGTTAATCTAGCCAGACGCAGTCCATGGTTAACAAGTACACACACACCTTTGACCTTTGACGCCCCATCTCCAGTGGAGATGATAGGCTACTGAGTTGGGCAGTACTTGATTTGGCGCCTCAAATCGCCACTTCTCCTAAACGCTCTGCCGCATGCGCAGTGAAAGTCCTTCGGTGCCGGGGGAGGAAGACGATGTTGATGGACCCGCCTGCGTCATTCCTGGCGATCTTGTGCGAGCCGATACCACTCGGACTCCGGAATATCCAGCGACCGCAGATCACCGATAATCGTGTCTCGCCAACGCTTCTTTGGCCCATGCCGTGGTCTGGTTGCCTCGAGCTTCCCAAACAACACTTGTTGAGGAATCCGGGCCGCGTCCATACGGGCAACATGACCCAGCCAACGCAGACGGTACTCACGCAGGAGAGTGCCAATGTCCTCAGGAAGACGCGCTCTCTGGGCTAGATCAGCAGTAGTAAGATGACGGGAGTGCTGATCGCTCCTTGAGACTCCCAAGATGGAACGGACGCATGAGCGATGAAACAGATTCAGGCGATTCATCTGCCGGGCCTTCATGGGCCAAGTCTCTGCTCCATAGAAGAGGGTAGGGAGGACAATGGCCTTGTAGACAAGACGCTTAGACTTAATGGATAGGCCGCTACACCCGAAGATTGGCTTTTGGAGAGCGCCAAAAGCACGAGAGGCCTTGGCAAGGCGGGAGGTGAGCTCCTTGTCCACAGCACCGTCTGCGCTCAGGACACTGCCAAGATAGGTAAAGCTGTCCGCAACCTCCACGCTTCCTCCATCCTGAAGATCAATGGAAGGTGGCGGGTCAGAGCAGTTCACCGCCATGGCCTTGGTCTTCTGGACGCTCACAGTTAGACCCCAACCCGAAGCACAGGATACAAACTCGTTTGTCATCGTCTCTAGGTGACTCAAAGAGGTGGTGTAGAGAGCCGCATCATCAGCAAACTGGGACTCTGTGACGTCAGTGGAGGCCAGTCGAGACTTGGCGATCCGGTCCCCAACAAGCTTCCTGCCGACACAGTAGTGGACCCGTACACCCGGAACAGAACAGAACCCAAGAACGAACGTCCTCGCGATGGAGTGTGTTGTGAATGTCGGCCAAAAGCACAGTGTGGACGGTTAAGATCATTAATTTTCAAATGGCCGAGTTTGTCGCTACTTCTGAGGTGTTATTATGATAAAATATTGCGACAGAGCTTTCGGCCATACTGCAATTTACTACATCCTCAAGATGATCCTTATCCTGAGAGATTCCTAGACTTACTGTAACAGTTTTCCCCTGTTCTCTATAACTTTACACTCCCTCGCACCTCATGCGTCTTACGCCTGTCTATTAGCACCTTCATTGGCGCCATTGCCACATGTATACTATCACATTTTGCATATAACTGGTCGAGGCGCGCTCAACCAGGCCTCTTACTTTTCAAGTTTGATTAAACCTGTTACACTGGTAGCAGAGGATGGTTCCTACTCTGCTTTTGGCAGGTGTTCTGCTTACGCTCCTCGTACTCGTCGTTCGGCTGATAAACGATATCAAGACCGCTCAGCGCGTTAGCCAAGGAAACCGAACGATACATCCGAACTCGGAACCGTGGGAGCCAACACCCCGCCTTACGAAAGAGCCGCCTGTGTTTGGAGGAGATTCCGCTACATTCAAAGAATGGACGTTTGCAATGGACATGGCCCTACGGTCGTTGGCGCTCCCAAATGCGGCACAGAGGGTCGACTACGCGGCAGGATTTTTGACTGGAAACGCTCGTCTTTGGTTGATAGCGGCATTGGAAGCTAACCAAGTGTTTTCCGACTGGCCTGCTCTGAAAGCGGCACTTGGCGATGTGTACGGACCACGGCACAACGAGGAAACATCGCGTATGGGACTAATTTCCGCAGCGCAGCGCGGGTCGCTGGACGCATACATTGCTGCTTTCACTCGCCTCAGCCTGCAAGTGCCGGAAATCGACCACCACACCAGAGCGCTGCTGTTCGTCAGGGGTCTAGTGCCGCACATCCAGCGACAGGTCATGCGTGAGCATCCACGTACCCTGGAGCAAGCTGTCATGGCAGCAAACACCGTGGAGCAGTCGTCAGGGCCACCGGCGTCGGGGCCACCAGCCAGTAGAGAGTCGCGTTCCGTGCCCAGCTTCCGTGGTCAGACTCAGGGCCTCCGCAAGCTGACGGACCAAGAGCGTGTCCAACTGCGAGCAATGGGACACTGCTTTGCTTGCAGGAAGCCAGGCCACCTCGCTAAAGACTGTACTGAGGGTGGACAGCGCTACCCAAACGCTGGTCGCCAGTAAGAAAGGGGGTGCGCTTACTGGCGACGACCCAAGCACCCACGCCGGTACCAGTCGCTAACCGGTTCGGAGCTCTGGAGGTTGAAGACGTTGCTCTCCAGGAACCTACGGAGCCGGAGACACCCATAGCTGTAGGAAATTGTCCCGTTGCAGAAAGGTGTCATGTCAGCAACGTCAGCGTCGGCAATGAACCTGAACACGACCTACTGCGCATACAGGGAAAGATCGGCGGTCGCCGTGCAGTGATGCTGATAGATTCCGGTTCGACGCATGACTTCATTGCAGACAGTTTTGTTCGAAAGCATCATCTTGACACGGATGCAAGCTCAGCAGTGCTGAGCGTAACATTGGCGGACGGCTCGACCAGCGAGGTCCCGCAGATTTCCACACGCACGCTAAGGGTGACAGTCGGGGGCTTCAGTGAGGAACAGCACTTTACTGTGTACCCCCTGACTCGCTACGACGCTATTCTTGGCAAGCCGTGGCTTACAAGGAACAACCCCAGCATCAACTTCCGTACGAACGAAGTTCAGTTGGACGGTGAGCCCTTTGTTGCCAAATTGCCTTCAGCTAACCCGCCGACAGCCGACCGGCCATCTGTGGAAAGCATGTTTATCAGTGGCCGACAAGCTCGTCATGCCCTGAGGAGTGGAGCCGAGGGGTTTCTTGCATGGGTCACTGCTGCAAACGAGGAGAATCGTTCCGGGCCACAACTCCAGGAATCAGAGCAACAAGACATCCAGAACCTGCTCAAGAGGTACCAGGATTTATTTCCAGACGAGCTGCCGAATGAGCTTCCACCGAAGAGACCAGTCGACCATGAAATCCAGATAGAAGATGGAGCCAGACCACCGTCTCGACCCGCCTACCGCCTGCCGAAACCAGAGATGGACGAGCTCCAGTCACAGCTGTCAGAATTACTTGAGAAGGGATTCATTGAGCCAAGTAAGTCGCCATACGGTGCACCTGTGTTTTTTGTGAAAAAGTCGGATGGTACTCTGAGAATGGTGTGCGATTGGCGAGAATTGAATAGAATTACGATCAAAAACAAAGCTTGTCTTCCTAATATTGATGACTTATTCGACACGATCCAGGGCAGTGCATATTTCTCCAAGTTGGACTTGCGGTCGGGGTACAATCAAATCAGAATTCAAGACTCGGATGTTTCTAAGACGGCCATTAATACGCCGTTCGGCCACTTCCAATTTAGAGTCATGGGATTCGGGCTGACTAATGCCCCGGCCACCTTTCAGTCACTCATGAACTCTATTCTGCAACCGCATCTCCGAAAATTCGTTGTAGTATTCTTGGATGACATTCTAGTTTTCAGCAAGACCTGGGAAGATCATCAGCATCATCTTCAAACAGTTCTAGAAACACTTAGAAATAGTGAGCTGTATTGCAAACAGTCTAAATGCGAATTCGGCGTGAGAGAAGTTCTCTTCTTGGGGCATAAAATCAACGGCACATCAATTTCCCCTGATCCCAAGAAGATAAGTGCTGTGGAAACATGGCCAACTCCGTCGTCAGTAACTGATGTGAGGAAGTTTCTTGGCTTTGCAAACTATTTCCGAAGGTTCATAGATCGACACTCGACCATCTCTCGTCCATTAGAAGAAATCACCGGAAAAAATTCACGCTTTGAATGGAGCGCTGCTAGACAGAAGGCATTCGAGTCTCTAAAATCAGCATTACTCGAGGCGCCAGTGTTGCAACTGGCCGATGTTGAGAAAAGCTTCACGGTAGAAACTGACGCAAGTGACTTTGCCGTGGCGGGTGTGCTCCTGCAGCAGGGAGAAGATATGGATTTGCATCCCGTAGCCTATTGTAGTCGGAAACTGTCAGCTGCAGAACGCAACTATACTGCGGCCGAGAGGGAAACGTTGGCTGTGGTATTTGCATTAAAGTGCTGGAGAATCTATCTATTCCGCCACTTTGACCTGATGACTGATAATATGGGTGTTGTCTATTTACGAACCAAACCGACTCTCACCAAGCGTGAGGCAAGATGGGTAGAGTTTTTAGCTGACTATGACTTTACGGTCTTTCACAAACCAGGAAAGAAAAACATTGCCGACCCGCTTTCACGCCGTCCAGATCTGTTCAGTGATTCTGAAATAGGCGGGTCATCCTATCCTCCTAACATTCAGTTGAATGCCATAGAGCATACCCTAGAGATTAATCCAGACTTAGCGCAGTTAATTGTCAGCGGTTA